TTCTAACACCACACACAAAGATCAACTCAAAATGGATTAAAGACCTAAATGTAAGACCAGAAACTATAAAACTCTTAGAGAAAAACACAGGCAGAACACTCGAAGACATAAATCAAAGCAACATCCTGTATGACCCACCTCCTAAAGTAATGCAAATAAAAACAAAAGTAAACAAGTGGAACCTGATTAAACTTAAAAGCTTTTGCACAGCAAAGGAAACTATAAGCAAGGTAAAAAGACAACCCTCAGAATGGGAGAAAATAAAGCAATGAAACAACTGACAAAGGATTAATTTCCAAAATATACAAACAGCTCATAAAACTCATTACCAGAAAAACAAACAACCCAATCAAAAAGTGGGAAAAGGCCTAAACAGGCATTTCTCCAAAGACATAGAGATGGCTAATAAACACATGAAAATATGCTCAACATCGCCTATTATTAAGAGAAAAGCAAATCAAAACTACAATGAGATATGATCTCACACCAGTCAGAATGGCCATCATCAAAAAGTCTACAAACAATAAATGCTGGAGAGTGTGTGGAGAAAAGGAAACGTTCTTGCACTGTTGGTGAGAATGTAAATTGATACAGCCACTATGGAAGATGGTATGGCGATTCCTTAAAAAACTAGGAATAAAACCACCATATGACCCAGCAATCCCACTCCAAGGCATATACCCTGAGGAAACCAAAATTGTAAGAGACCCGTGTATCCCATTGTTCACTGCAGCACTATTTACAAAAGCTAGAACATGGAAGCATCCTAGATGTCCATCGACAGATGAATGGATAAAGTTGTGGTACATATACACAATGGAATATAACTCAGCCATAAAAAGATACCCATTTGAGTCAGTTCTAATGAGGTGGATGAACCTAGAAGCTATTATACAGAGTGAAGTTAATCAGAAAGAGAAGGATAAATATTGTATATTAATGCATATATACAGAATCTAGAAAGACGGTACTGAAGAATTTACTTGCAGGGCAGCAATGGAGAAACAGACATAGAGAATAAACTTACGGACACTGGGAGAGGGGAGGAGAGGGTGAGATGTGTGGAGAGAGTAATGTGGACACTTACATCACCATGTGTAAAATAAACAACCAACGGGAATTGCTGTGTGGCTCAGGAAACTCAAACAGCGGCTCTGTATCACCCTAGAGGGGTGGGATGGGGAGGGAGATGGGAGGGAGGTTCAAAAGGGAGGGGACATATGTACACCTAAGGCTCATTCATGTTGAGGTTTGACAGAAAACAACAAAACTCTGTAGAGCAATTATCCTTCGATTAAAAAATAAATAAATAAGCTATTAAAAACAACAAAAAAAGATAAGCCACAGATTAGGAGTACTTAAATATTTTCAAGGCATATATGTGATAAAATTTATATTCAGGCTATATAAAAAAATTCCCCAAATTAAAAAATAAGAAAACAATCAAATTTTAAAATGGCAACAGATCTGAACAGAGACTTCACCAAAGATGTACAGATGACAAAAAAGCACATGAAAAGACATTCAACATCATTAGTCATTACGGAAAAGAATATTATTAAAACCACAATGAGATACTACAACACACCTATTAGAATAGTTGAAATTAAAAAGACTGACCACACCACGTGTTAGCAAGGAGGTGGAGGTGGAACTCTCACAGATGGTGGCGTGGAATGTAAAATGGTAAAAATTAGTTTGGCATAGTTCGGAAGTTTCTTGAAAAGATAAACATACACCTACCACATGATCCAGGTGTTTCATGCCTAAGTATTTACTTCCAAAAGAAAGTATATGTCCATACAAAGACACATACAAGAATGTTCACAGCATTCCGTGTATTTTAACAGCCAAAAATTGTAAACAACCAAAATATCCATTAACAGGTGAACAGATAAACAAATGATGGTGGAATTCTACAGCAGAATAGTTCTCAACAATAAAGTGGAAACCAACTACTGATAAATGTTGTAATATGGATGAACTCAATAATGAAAGAAGCCAGATTACACACAAAAAGGAACATGCTGTATGATTCCATTTAAACTCTGGAAAAATGTGAAATCTAGTGGCAGGAAGCAGATCAGTGGTTGTCTTGGAGCAAAGCGGGCAAGAAGCAAGGATCACAATGAACCAGGACTCTTTCAGGAGTGATTCCGTGCTCCATCCTGATTGACGTGATGCTTTCCTGTGCTCAGGTGCTCTGTCGTCTCCAACTCTTTGCAGCCCTGTGGACTGTAGCCCACCAGCTTCCTCTGCCCATCATATTTCCCAGGCAAGAATACTGGAGTGGGTTGTCATTTCCTACTCCAGAAGCTTTCCTGGGTATGTACAAGTGAAAACTGCTCAGACTGACCACTTTAAACATGTCTAGTTTATTTCAGTCATATTTCAATAAAGTATTTAAGTCTGCTAATCTAGTGATAATGTAGTGAGAAAGACTAAGAGTAAGGTTTTTTCCTTCTTAAAGGAAGGACTGTGTGGAGCGTTGAAATTCAGAAGGACCCCAGATCAACCAGTATTATTGGAAGTGCCTGTCTGCAAGCTATAACTGGTGGTGGTGGTGCTTCAGTCCCTAAGTCGTATCCGGCTTTTGTGACCCCCATGGACTGAAGCCCACCAGGCTCCTCTGTCCATGGGATTCTCCAGGCAAGAACACAAGAGTGGATTGCCTTTTCCTTCTCCACTGTTACTGGTACACAACATAAGGAATTTGCACAAGAAGGTAAATCAACTACTACCTCCCTAAGCACACTGGTTAGTTCAGCTGATTTTTATTTTTTATGGCCAAAATTTCTCAGTGAAAAAAGCAGTATATTGAAGAACATTCTACCACAACCTCCACATCTAATCACCAAGCTGTAACATACAGTTCATAGAGTGGCATTATCTAGACCACAGTCACATTTATCAATCTCCCTAAACCTATATATTCATTTGTATAAAAATAACAGGGATTGCTCTGGATACCTCAAGTAACAGTCTGATGCTCTAAGGAGATATAAAGCTTGCAAAACAGCAGGTACCGATGATGCATCATACTGCATTATGTAGGAATTAATTTGAAAATATAGCAAAACATAAAGATAATATATTTTTATTTGCTCAGAAAGCTTGTTTCTAAAGTTCACTGAAATTAAAAATGGTTTGCTTTCCAATGAAGTTGTTACCATCCAGAACTCCATTAAATTTACAACAAATTAAGAATTTACAATAAATAGGGACCTGTATAGTCTCAGCAGATATTCGAGTAATAAGGTACACACTATTCAGTGACACATATTTTTTTATCAGAGCATAGTCTCCTGAATAGACACAGAAATGCAGAAGTAACAGTGTTGTTTTCACTTTTATCTATGTTCAAATATAATATTTTAGTTCCTAGAATTCAAAATTCTTCACTCAGATTTAGTTTTTTTTTCCTTCCAATTAAAGTCTGGAGAGCTTCTCTATAAAATTTTACACTTTATAACTTTTCCTTTGAAATATGAGAAAAGCATGGGATCTCCTGAGTTAAATGCAGCTTATACATCCTTTAAAAATTATTTTTAAAAAATATCACAAGTGAACCACCACATATATCCATAATAAACATCCTTGCTATTCATAGTTCTTTAAGCAATAGTCAAGTATATTTGTGCTTGTATGTTTACATTACTTTAGAGTCTATTTTTAGCTTACCATAAAACTGTATCTATAAAGCCTTTTCAAATATTTAATAAATGAAGCAAAACAGTCATTATGAAAATATAAACCAGGTTTACAGCCTTTTCATCTTTCATGTTTTCATGCATTTCCTGTCAACCAGAAAGTTTCCTTTTCTTTAGGGATGCTGTTAAGTTGTTGTCTTTGTAATCTCAACACTGCTGCTTTCTTAGCTGGCCATTCAGCTTCTGTGAACACATGGTATTCTCTCTGTGCATCAGTTGTACCAGTGGAATCTGATAATGTTGGTATTCATCATTTCCAGCTATTTCAACTGCAGGACCACCTTCAAACACAAAATGGAGGAAGGGCAGCAATCAGATTATACCAAAGATGCCAGTATATGCTGAATGAGATGCTTTGAAATCTCTGAAGAAGGGCCTGGAGAACTGACAAGAATAACACAAAAAACACAGGCCTGCAAGGATCCATGGTTCAGACTCATTCAACATTTACACCAGAACCTGCCACATACTCCTTCAGACATGCAGCCCCATCAAAAGGCAAGCCAGGCTACCGGTTTATTACTGGGCACGTGGACGAGTCCTCAAGGCACTGGGATGCCCGAGCGACTGCAGAAGATGAAGGATACGGGGGTTTCAAAGGGATGCAGACAAGATGGGTTAGCGTCAAGAGAGGGGCTAAGAACAACTGACTTTAATCCTTGAGACACAATCACTAGAGATGATGCTCAGCAACAGGGGAGGGAACATACATAATGCAGATAATTATTTTTTACGTCTTCTTCACACAGTGTTTTCTGTTTAAATATCATTTTTCTCATTAAACACTCAAAATTATTACTGTTATTTAGCCATTCCTTTGTAAATGCAAAGCATTTGGTCCTTAGTTTGTCTCAAACTGATATTTTCATATAAATGATACTTTGTCTCCTGAACTTAAAGAAATTTTCTACCATTTGTCCAGTTAAATAATCTTTTCTTCAGAATCATAACTATTTTTAATCATTAAATCTCTTCAGAATTAGCTAATTTCACAGCCCCAAGATAAAAAAAATTTTTTATCATTAATGGGGACTAGAGCAAAACAAATTTAGCTGTTATTCCTTAAAATATAACTATTTGACAAATTATGTTCTATTAATGCAAATCAGCAATAAATGTAGTATCTAAAATGAGAGATGCAGAACATATCAACAAAGCATCTTCTGTGCTTGACATAAAATACCAGGAACAAAACCAACTTTAAATGTAAATGATTAGCTTTCCTTATATTGCTCCAGTAGAATCAATCAAAACTTAAACACTTTGAAGCACACAACAAAATTAAAACACATACCTTATTAGCTGCTTCCAAGGAATTTATTAGATTCTGCAGCTCTTCTTTACTCATTTCAACAGAATATGGCTTGACTTCACCATTTTCTTTTACATCTATATGAAGGCTTAAAAGTGGCATTTGTAATGAAGCAATCTTGTCACTAGAAAGTGCAAGCTGTTTAAAATGAGAAAAATAGTAATTAATAAGTAGCTTTAAAAAGGAATATACTAAATATGCATCAGAGCTTACAAACAACACATTAAAGAAAAAAAGAGTACTCTTGTTTGCTATGAAGTACAGAGAAATATGAAAGGAATAAAAGAAATTAAACTCATGCCAAACCAGCATATATCTGAACAGAAAAAGAAAGGAGAGTGAATGAAAGCAAGAACGTAGTTAAGGGACAACTGGTTGGGATTCTGCAGTAGGAGCAGACAGCTAGAGCAGTGCTATGGCTCAGAAGTACCAAATGGGTCCAAGAAACAGAATTCTTAAAGAAGTGTAATGACACCAAGAGGACAAAAGTCCACGTACAAAGATAAAACGAAAAACATGTGCAGCTCAGAAATTAAGATGCCTAAATAACGAGCAGTTAACTTTCCATTAAACTACTGACAAATGTTATCAAGATAGCAATCAATCAGAGTCAGTCAACAAAAACAGGACACTTTTCCCTCCTACACTCTCTGTCTAAAATCAGTAGCTGAGAGGAAATGGAAGAACCAAACGTTTATGATACTAAAGCTTTTTGAAACAAGCATCATAGTTTCATTGGCAGATGGCAAAGAGAAACTCAATTTTCCTGGAATTTGGGCCAGGAACCCCATAATAACTGAATTTTGGAGTGCAACCACTTGTAAAAACCGACGGGGGCAATGGTGAAGGACTCCTCCTCTGTGGTACGTACACTACAGGACCACACAAACCTTCACACATCTCCATTTTCTCTCCAAAATACAGGACTCACCATATCTGAGATTTGAAAGTAGCACATTCAGGGTGCCCACCTCACTGTTAACTCTCTTCAGTATTTCCAGTAAGTGGTTTCTGAGCCTATGCTTGAGTACCAGTAATGAGGAGTGTGTTAAGCCAAAAAGAGGTTAGAATAATTTTTGGACTCTCACAGGGGTTAGATTATTACTTCTTAGGTTGAAATTAAACCTATTTCATTGCAAATCATATACTTTATCCTTGTCTTATCCCCCAAAGCCACAAAGCACATATCTATTCCTTCATCCACATGTCTTAAAACTTCAGTTAATTAAATTCATTATAATTGTAATGTTATTATACATGGTTTAGATGTCTGCAGTGCAAGTTAACACAAAAGATGTAATTTTAATTACCTTTGATACATTTTTATGAAAATGTATCTCAAGAACACACTTTAGATATATAATATTACCAAAAAATAATGTATTGAAAACGTGAAACAGAAAGTATTCTCCTCCTGAAAACACTCCTGTCTGACTCTTTGTGACCCCAGGGTCTGTAGCCCACCAGGCTCCTCTGTTCATGGGGTTCTCCAGCAAGAATACTAGAGTGGGTTGCCATTTCCTTCTCCAGATAAAAAATATAAATACTCATAAATAAATATATTCTCACCTTTAACTGCCAATCAAAATCCTGTAGTTGTGCAGAGGAAATATCAACTATTTCTTCCAACAGAGTCTGCTTGATTTCATCTTTCCTACTTTTTAAGCATTTCATGATAGCTTCTTGATGAGATGAATTCAACTGATTCAACTGTTGAGCTATCTATGAAAATAAAAATAAACTGTTAGAAAATAAGTGAAAAGGCCTTTCTGTTTAAAATGTAAACAACAGTTACATTCTCCTTTCATATAACCTTTAAAATGGTAGTAAATGGGCAAAAAAATACTTCTATGACTATAAAAAGAATAAGACAAGGATGCATAATCAATAAACAAGAAGTTTTAACACAGTTTTGCAAAACAGAAGGGAAAAGGGCTGATTGATGAACCAACATAGGAGTGAATACACTGGAAACCACTAAAGCTGATTTACCTATATTAACATATTAGACAAAACAGACTTTAAGGCAAGAAGACTTACAAGAAATAGAACAAGATAGTAAAGGGGTTGCTCAACAGAAATTCACAACAATCATAAATTTGTGTGCACCTAATGACATGTCTTCAAAATATATAAAGCAGCAAACCTTGGCAGAAAAAGCGAAATGGGCAAATCAACTTTCATAGAGATGCTAACACACCTCTCAGTAACGGATGAAAAGAGAAAGCACTGTGGAGACACAGCACTGAAAATCTCTACTTAATCCACCTACACATAGAACACTGCACCCTACAACTGAAGGATACATATTACCTTCAGACGCACATGGACCATCACCCGAAAATGAACCATATGCTGAGCCATGTCACAGATCACAACAGATTTCAAAGAGCCGGAATCATACTAATTATATTTTTGGTCACTGTGTGATTAAATCAGAACTGAACAAAGCTTGTCCAGATATCTGAAAATTAAGCAGCGTGATAGCACAGCACTGGGTGACAGAAGAAGTAAATCTCGCATGAACTCTCTCATAGAAAAAGGAAGAGAAAAGAAAACAACAAAAACAACTTCCTAATTCATTCCACAAGACGGGAATAAAACTTGATACTTTGACAAAACCATTATAGGCAAAAAATTATGGGCCAAGATTACTCAAACATAGATAAAAAAATCCTAATGAAGTATTGGCAAATCAAAACAAATTAAAAAAGAAGAACACATCATGACCAAGTTGGATTTATTTTGGTAAGGTTAGTTTAACATTCAAAAATCAATGCAAGGCATCACATTAACAAAATAAAGATGAAGATATAAATTCAGGAAAAAAGAATTTTATAAAATTCAATACCTATTAATTCTCAGCAAATAAGAATCAGAGGAAGCTTCTTTAATCATTGATACCTATAAAATCATACAGCTAACAAATTAAATTGTGAAATAATTAACACATACATTCTCCCTAAAGTCAGACAAGGCACTGCTTTTTTTCTTTCTTTTCTAAAACTGTCCTGAAGACATTAGGCAGTGCAATAAGAGGGAAAAAAGAAATAAAAGGTATTAAAATTGAAAAAGAAAATGACTGCATACCAAAACCCCCCCCCCCAAATTTATAAACCATTATATATAGTAGATATGGGTTTCCATGGTGGCTCATATGATAAAGAATCTGCCTGAAATACAGGAGACTCGGGTTCGATCCTTGGGTCAGGAAGATCCTCTAGAAAAGGGAATGGTTACCCACTCCAGTATTTCTTGCCTAGAGAATTCCATGGACAGAAAAGCCTGGTGGGCTACAGTCCATGGTGTCGCAAAGAGTTGGACAAGACTGAGAAACTTACACTTCTACACAGTAAACAAATTTAGAAAGATTGTTGGACACAGAGTAAGTATACAAAAACCAACAGGTTTCCACATACCAGCAATATGCAATTGGAGAACAAAATTTAAGAACATCCGAAACATCAGTTACTTAGAAATAAATACAAAACATGTGTGAGACCTCTACACTGAGAACTACAATATATGAGAGAGAAACTGAAGCTAATCTAAATAAATGGAAGGTAATACCAAGTTCATAGATCAGAAGGCTCAATACTGTTGTCCATTCTCTCCAAAATAGTCTAGAGACTCAGTGCAACCCACACTATGGACTTAATGTCCCCTCAAAATTCGTATTAAAACTCTGACCCTTAAGATGATACCAAGAAATGGGGCCTCTGACACAAAATCAGGCTTAGGTGAGGTGATGAAGGTAAGACCCTCATGATGGGATCAGTGCCCTTATAAGAAACATCAGAAAGTCTGCTCCCTCTCTCTCTGCACCTGCCCTCCTACCCCCACGGCCATCAGAGGACACAGCGAGAAGGCCAAAGTCTCCGGCAGGGACAAAGCCCTCATCAGGGACCAGAGTCAGCCAGTGCCTTAATTCTGTACTCCCTGAACTCTAGAACTGTGAGAAATTGATTCCTGTTATTTAAGCTACCCATTTTAAGTATTTTGTTGTGGCAGCCCAAGCTAATACTCTCCATCAAAATTCCAGCAAGTGTTTTGGTTAAAATTGACTGATCTTAAAACGTACCTGAAATTATGGAGGATATAGAAAAATCAAAGATTATCTTGAAGAAATACAAGGGTGAAGGTCTTTTACTACCAGATATCAAAATTTAATGTAATGCAGCTCTAATTCTACTGTAAATTAAGCCACTGTGATATGGGTAAATACAGGCAAACAGACTAACGGAATAAAAAAAGAGTCCAGATACAGGCCCAAACATGTATGGTCACCTGCATTTCCAAGAAAGGCTGCCCATCAAGTCTATGGGGTAAGGGTGGTCATTTCAACAAGTGAATGTCATATGAAAAAAATCTCAACTTGATCCTTATTCCATATACAAATAGTAATTCAAATATATCACAGACATAAATAAAAGCTAAAACAATCAAACTGCTACAAAAAGTATATGAAAATGTTTTCATGATTATGGCACAAACATTCCTACTGGCAAAACACAGTATTAACATCACTAACCATCAAAAGAAAATATTAACAAATTGGACTTGATTAAAATTCAGAACTTCTGTTCACCAAAAGACACTATTAAGAGACTAAAAAGACAAGAAACATAATAGAAGATATTTTAAAAATATTTATCCAAGAACTCATATTCAGTGATAAATATATATAACTTCATTTTTCCCCAAGTGGGCAACCTACACAGTTCAGTTCAGTCGTGTCCGACTCTTTGTGATCCCATGAACCGCAGCACGCCAGTCCTCCCTGTCCATCACCAACTCCCAGAGTTCACCCAAACTCATGTCCATCAAGTCGGTGATGCCATCCAACCATCTCATCCTCTGTCATCCCCTTCTCTTCCTGCCTTCAATCTTTCCCAGCATCAGGGTCTTTTCAGAATATCATCCAAATCAAAATGATAAATATATAGAACTTCATTTTTCCCCAAGTAGGCAACCTAGACAACCATGCCCAAATTACTTTTGACAAAGGTACAAAAGCAGTTTAATGGAATGATACCCCATGACCCTGCAGTTTTAAGATGTCTATTTTGAAAAGCTGACCAATTTGTGTGTAACAAGACACATACAAAATGTTTGCAGCAACACTATTTATAATAATGAAAGAGGGACTGATCCAATTGTCATCAGCAGGGAGACAGAAAAATAAGTCTTACTAATGCCTATCATCAAACACTACAAGGAGATGAAACACATAAGCCAGATCAATGCTTTTCAACATTGATAAATCTAAAACACAGTATTGCTGAAAAAATTATAAATGGATACATACATTACATTAACAAGTTACACATTTAAATAATTGTATATATTGCTCAAATAATTGTATATATTGCTTAAAGATGCAAACATTCATACATTAGAGAATACAAAACATGCATACAAATTCACTAGTGGTTTTTTCCTATTGGGAGGGTGATATTTACGTGCATCTATAATTCCTTGTTTCTAAAACACACACACAAACCTGAAATACATAAAGTAAAACATTAACAATTGTTTAATTGTGGTAATGGGAATATAGGTATCAGTTCAGTTCAGTTGCTCAGCCGTGTCCGACTCTTTGCCACCCCATGAACGGCAGCGCGCCAGGCCTCCCTGTCCATCACCAACTCCCAGAGTTCATCCAAACCCAAGTCCATCAAGTCAGTGATGCCATCCAACCATCTCATCCTCTGTCGTCCCCTTCTCCTCCTGCCCTCAACCTTTCCCAGCATCAGGGTCTTTTCAAATGAGTCAGCTCTTCTCATCAGGTGGCCAAAGTATTGGAGTTTCAGCTACATACCTTTTAATTTTATTCCACATGATTTAAATGTTTCACAATTTAAAATAAGACAACCAATCAGAAACAAAAGTACAAACTTCCACAGATTTTTCCACTTACTCACAATTACTAGGTTTTTATTGCTATCGCAAAGAGTCAGACGTGACTGAGCGACTGAACTGAACTGATTTTATACGCTTGGGTCTCCCTGGTGGCTCAGATGGTAAAGAATCTGCCTGCAATCAGGGAGAGCCCCTGGAGAAGGGAATGGCCACCTACTCCAGCATTCTTGCCTGGAGAATTCCACGGACAGAGAAGCCTGGCAAATTACAGTCCATGGGGTCACAAAGAGTCAGACAGGACTGAGTGGCTAACACTTTCACTTTTCATTATGCACTTACTGAGAATGTATTACATGGTACCCTAGACACCAAAATAATAAAAACAAATCTGAACATGAATTATCAAGGTATCGAAATCTGCAGCAAAGTTACCTCTTCATCAGATAAATTTTTACCAACTACAGCTTTGAAAAAGGTGGTAATGTCTTCTAGAACATGCATCCATTCTGTTGAATCCCAAACACTGTGATAATCCTGGTAGAGAGGATAAGTCCGGCCACAAATGCCATCAATTATTTTGTGAAGAAGCTAGAGAGAGAAAAAAAAGAGAGACAGTAATAAATGCAATTATAAGTAAAATTATAAAACAGATTTATCTTTTCTGTAGCAAATAAATGTTACTGGCAGAAGTTCATGCTATCTGCAGAAGCAGCTGAGGCCGAAAAGCAACTATCTTTAACATTATTTTATTAACTAAAAGTTAGAACTACACACACACACACATTCTATAATTTTGTCTACCTTCAGAAACTAAAATAATTTTACAGATATGCTGTTGCTTCTCCAATGTTCCTAAAAGGAAGATGGTGAGTGCAGCAGTTTCTCCTTGGGATTCTTTAGACTTCATATTTATACCAATAACCAAAAAACAAGGTATGAGTCTTAGACCAAAGTCTTTCAACTGTGGATCTACAAACCCCTTCTGTCCGTTTTCCGGGGCACCCACACTTACTTCTTTTGGTCCACTCCAAAACACCCCTCACTGACTTGCTTTCTCTTTTTTACATTTCTTCCTCTCTACGCTACCTCAATGCCAGCAATGGAAATCCTAACACATATATAACTGAACATGTGACTAAGTCTATGACTTTTGTAACAAAACTGGCTAGTCTGAATCTTATTCCCACTATTTACTAGTGTTGCCAAGTTAAAAGATTCTTTGCTGGTTTCCTCATGTGTAAAAAGAGGATTTCATCTATGCCCATAATGTTGTTTTAAGGACTGAAGAAGGCTACATGCAAATCACTTGGCACACTCCTGACATTAGACATTGCTTCCCATTGTTATCCTTCTTCTTATTACTAGTTCTAAGTATCATCATCACTATTACTACTGGTACTATGTTCCACGCCTCTAACATATATAACTGAGTGCCTACTGTATCAGCACTCCTCTAGGCAAGTGATCAATACAGTTTTCTTTCTCAAGAGATATTTGTGTGCTGTAAGAAGAGTACCTGAATCCAAACAACTTGGAAATGGGCTTAAACAGCAAGGAGGCTTCCAACTCTTTTCTCCTGGATCATGTTCCAGTGCATTTTAATCAAAAACTCCTCTGTAACACCATACATATTGGAACAGAGATGAATAATTGGTGACCCTAATTCCAAATGATGGCTAATGCACTATGTGAACAGAACTTTTATTTACCATAAATTAACCAACAACATTTTCAATTTGTAATCATTCAAAATTCTCTACCTACACTTCACCTTATCCCAAACTGTCCCCAATGCTAAAGTAAAACCCAGAACTCAAATTGAAAACTAAGAGCACTATGTTTTTGGAATATAGTCTTTTAAAATTAATTCACAAATGTGTAATGAGGACCCCATTCCAGTTATTAAACAGGTTAATGTAAATACAAAGAAAAAATAACTATAACAGCTAGCATTTATAGAGTCCTAATTACATACCGAAAACTGTGCTGATCTTCACTACAACCCTGTGAAGTAAGTCTTGCTATTATCCCCATTTTACAAATGAGGAAACTGAGGCTAAATAAGATAAGGTCCTATCATATCAGAGCCTCAGGCCATCAGAGAAAACTAATACAATCAGTAAGTATATACAATTTAGGAGGATAGGAGTTATAACTAAAGTTTACAGCGGGTACAAAGGAGCACAGAAGGGAAAAGTATGTCTTAAAAGAATGAACAGTGGGCCAAACAGGAGCAGGGCATTTCTAGTCGCAACAGCTGCGCACTGACAGGATGAAAGTGTGAAGCCACAGGCGCGATCTGGGAGACGGCAGCAGACAAACATACAAAGCCGGGCAGCTGGCAGAGACCGAACCACAGGGGACCTTGCACACAACGCAGAAGAGCCCAGGCTGCGATCTGTGCCCAACGGGTGAGCAACCGAGCCACGTGTCTGCATTATGGTTCCTTAAATCTGCCAGCAGGTCAGGAGACACACGGAAGGAAAGAGGCAAGAGGGTGAGTCCAAAGACCCCTCACCTCCATTCACTCACCAGCAAGAGACTGAGAGGACCCCCTCACTTCCATTCACTCACCAGCAAGAGACTGAGAGGACCCCCTCACTTCCATTCACTCACCAGCAAGAGACTGAGAGGACCCCCTCACTTCCATTCACTCACCAGCAAGAGACTGAGAGGACCCCCTCACTTCCATTCACTCACCAGCAAGAGACTGAGAGGACCCCCTCACTTCCATTCACTCACCAGCAAGAGACTGAGAGGACCCCCTCACTTCCATTCACTCACCAGCAAGACACTGAGAGGACCCCCTCACTTCCATTCACTCACCAGCAAGAGACTGAGAGGACCCCCTCACTTCCATTCACTCACCAGCAAGACACTGAGAGGACCCCCTCACTTCCATTCACTCACCAGCAAGAGACTGAGAGGACCCCCTCACTTCCATTCACTCACCAGCAAGAGACTGAGAGGACCCCCTCACTTCCATTCACTCACCAGCAAGAGACTGAGAGGACCCCCTCACTTCCATTCACTCACCAGCAAGACACTGAGAGGACCCCCTCACTTCCATTCACTCACCAGCAAGAGACTGAGAGGACCCCCTCACTTCCATTCACTCACCAGCAAGAGACTGAGAGGACCCCCTCACTTCCATTCACTCACCAGCAAGAGACTGAGAGGACCCCCTCACTTCCATTCACTCACCAGCAAGAGACTGAGAGGACCCCCTCACTTCCATTCACTCACCAGCAAGAGACTGAGAGGACCCCCTCACTTCCATTCACTCACCAGCAAGAGACTGAGAGGACCCCCTCACTTCCATTCACTCACCAGCAAGAGACTGAGAGGACCCCCTCACTTCCATTCACTCACCAGCAAGAGACTGAGAGGACCCCCTCACTTCCATTCACTCACCAGCAAGAGACTGAGAGGACCCCCTCACTTCCATTCACTCACCAGCAAGAGACTGAGAGGGAGATGACAAATTGTTAGGGACACTCCAACTGGGGACAGCAGAGAGGCAAAGGAGGCCTGAAAAGGATGATACTCAGAATCTCAGGTTGAATGACAGGGAGTGGCGGTATCACAAACCAAATTTGAGGCTACAGCCACAGAAGGAGAAAGTCAGGGAGAAGGGAAAGGAGCTAAGCCAAGTACATACTGAATTTGAGGTGCCTGTGGGTGTGTCTAAGCAGAAGCCTGATACTCAGAAGAGATCTTTAGATCCGGAGATTCAGGAGTCATCCACATACCTGGCAGTGAAGGTTACAGGCCTATCTAAGTAGTATGCAGGTAGGATGAAGACAGGAGCAGAAAGCTAACACAAGACTCAGAGTCAACAGATCTGAGCATCTGTTTCCACTTTGCCACTTACTAGTTTGACAACTTTGGGTACGTGACCCAAACCCTCTACAGACATTTCAGTTTTCTCATTTTAAAGTCAAAGAAAATATCTTTTTTTTTTTTTAATCCTAGCAAGGTAAGTAAGTTTATTACTATCTCCTCCACACTATTCCCATTATAAATGGAACAACGAAAAAAGAAAGGCAGAGATTTGGGGCTTATAAAAGCTGCCTACCACATTGCCCTCTATCACATTAGCAGGCTAAGCCCTCGTCTCCAACCTTCATCCACTGTAAATGAAACAGATTTGGGATTTATTCAGAATTACATATCATAGAAACTAAAAGCCAGCCCACCAGAGCCTGGGATCCAGACCTCCTCGCAATGATAAAGCTGAATTTAGTAAACATTAATCGATTCCTTCCTTTAGTAAACACTGCTTAAGAACCCACCTGGGGCCAGACATAATTCTCAAGAACCGGGTATATAAGCAAAGTATCTACCGTGAAGGAGTTCAGAATGAGAGAGACTAGTGGCAAAAGGACCAATTAGGAAGTTGTGTTCAAGAAAGACTTGATTGGGCTGGAACTGCTGGGGAACAGAAAAAGATGGGAGTAAGCACAGTAACATATTAATTATAACACAAAGTCAGTTCTCTGAAGTCAGAGGGCAAAGGACCATAGCTCCTGGAGCTCCGGCTGAAACTCTATTTTGCATAGGTCGCCTTTTTTTTATAGGGCTGGCAAATTTCTTTCGAGTCTCATACTTGGGGCGCCAAGGGTTTTTTAACTTCAAAGTTCAGGGAGAAAAAACACTTCTCAGTTAGATTTCCCTCTTACAGTAACCACTGGGTGTTCTTCCTTTCACAGTTCACAGACAAAATTTCGTTTTATGTATTTACTGTCTCCACGTTTTTCTCACCCTTCAAACCAAAAATGTGCTGCTGTCAAAAACAATTATAAACTGCCAGCACCTTTGGTATTAAGGCTAAACCCAGGAGTACAGTACACAGAAGCTCCTGACGGCTTCTCACTTGTTCAGCCACAGTCTCCCTGCTCTACTTCTCACTCTGAACTCTGGCCTCTAAAACTACAGCAGGTCCTAAGGCTCCCCGGGGCTGCCGTTCTTCCAGTCTTCGTAAGTGCTGTCCCTTGGCCTGAAACGCGCTCTCCCTCCAGCCCATCTGGTTCCTACTCACCCTTCAGGAACTCAACCTAGAAACCTAGGCAGATGCTCTGGAAAACGTTTCCTTGCCTCTTCTAACCAGAGTTGCGACCCCTCCTACAAACCGATCACTGGATAACTCATTCATCCAGTTATCCATTTATTCAGCTTGGTTTCCTCATTAGTTGGCAAGGTCCACCAGGGTATGGGCTGTCTCATTCACCATTTCACCTTATCCCATAGGGCATTAAGCACATAGTTCAGTGACGAGTTGGCTGAACAAGTGAAAAAGGCTGCTTTTTTCCAGATTCTCATAAACTAGGTTCCTTCTTAAGACTAGAGGGGCCAACGTATGTCACGTCTTGCAGTAAGGTCCACCGTGGACCACCCTACCTGCAAGCCTCCCAGTTTTGGGTGACACTTATTTTTTCCTGCCGCCCACAAAGAATTACGGTCTGCCTCTCTAGGTCACCAAGGTATTCCCATCACCACTGTTCCTTGTGCATAGGGAATGATGTGGCGGTTTTGTTGCTGAAACAGTGAATGAACCAATGAAACTTGTACAAGAGGTTGTAAACCAACCCCTCCAGCTTTCAAGCTGGCGACTGCGCACTCCCCAGTCCAGGGTCACTTGGTCCCGGCCGCTCCCGGGAACGGATAGGTGGTCCCCGCTAGGGTGCGGGCGCGGCCGGGCGGGCGTCTGCAGGCAAAACCCCTGGAGGGGCCACTGGAAGCCGTAGCACGGCGGAGGCGCCCCAAGCCTCGGACTCTCCACTCTCCATAGAACACGGCGTGGGGCGAGGGAGCACCCAAAATCACACCCGGTCCTCTTCCCCTCCCCGGGCCGCCGGCGCGAGCCTCCCAAAGGCAGCGGGATGAGGCCGACCCCCCACGCCAGGCCTTCTAGGAGCCTGGCCCGCGCAGCCGGCCCCTGCGCCCTCCTCACCTGCAAGCCCCGCTCTGCGGGAAGCTTCTGCAGCCGCCACAAGGGCGTCCCCTCTTCCGGCTCCATCCCTGCGGGAAGCTAGGGGCTGCGTCACATGACCAGCCCCGGCGGCGTCAGGGCTTCGGCTCGCCCACGTGACCAGCGGGCCGCGCGGGCGGGGCGGGCTCGGAGGCGCCGAGCCCTTGTGCGCATGCGCGGAGGCGGAGGCTTCGCTTTCTCCGTCCTCAGGGAAAAGCTGTGCCGCCTGTTGGCAACTTCGGTTAAACGCCCTGCTGGTATTACCGTGAAGGTGCGTCCGCAGATCTCTCAGAGCAATCTGGCAACTCTATTCAAAGTTGTATTAAACTTTCTCTGCACACTTAGAACGCAAAATAAGGGTAACTACATTTGGAGTGCGCGGGGGCCGCTGTCCTGGAGGTTTGGAGTAAGTTTTAAGCCTCCTGATTTGGAAGGCAAATTGATTTGGAAAGTATCCTGATTTGGAAGGTCGATTTGCCTCCTACCATGCGCGAGGTTCTTTATAGATTATCCTATGAAGTTACTATTTTCATCCTTATTTCCAAATAACAAGACCAGAGAAGTTACTAGGGTTGTCCGATTTGGGAGTCGCCGAGATCTTGTTTTTTTTGATAACCGATTAAAGTCTTTGCCAGTACCTCCTCCAATTCGCTATTTTGATAACTCAGGTTTAGGCCTTTGTCCAGAAGAGCAAACTGCTGAAGTGGAGACCGAGGATCCCCAGCCAGGTCTTGGCAAATGTCGTCGGGAAAAGATGTGCCAGAGTGCAAGACTCGGTAGACTCCGCTCCGCCACTTTTCCGGCGGCCCAGCATTGCATGTTTGGAAATGTCTGTTACGTCTTTTTGTGTCTATCCCTGGCAGTCATGTCACAATCCAACTTCAGTTCAGTTCCCACTTTGCCACTAGGATTGGAAGATGAAAGAATGGGATGCATTCCCGTAATCTAGAATGGTGAGAGCAATATACCTTCTTCTTAAACGTGGTAATCCTTTAGAAGTTGAAAAGTTTTATTGATTTATATGTTTTATAAAGAATAAAGTTATTGAAGGAAATTTCCAATCTTTCCATTATACGTAAAATGTATATATTTTTATTAATATGAATGTATCCACATATGACTTAGAGAATTCCAAAGCATAATTCATAAATTAGTATGAAGTAGCCTTTGATTAACAACAAAAAAAGTATTCTTTATCTGAAATTCAAATTTAACCAGGCATCTTGTATTTTATGTCAACCCTAAAAGTCCCCCCAAAACCCGAGCTAAGAGCTCAGCCTGAAGTAAATGACATCAGATTCTAGAGCCAGACTCAAAGTTGGACTAAACTTAAAAGCCAGAGCGCCTGTGATTACTCTCATTATGGCTTTTACTTAGACGCTGGAGAACTCGGTAACAAATAAGATAGCCTCTGTGAGCCCGAAGTTTCCAGGATCACAGTGAGTGAGAGACAGAAACACGAACTAACGATCTAAACAATAGTAAAAGTGGTGCAAGCTACTCAAGCACCACCGGAAAGTATTTCCATGCGTGGCTTACACAGAAAAAAAACTGCTCAGTGGCACCCTTCAAGGGTTAGCACAGAGGCTCTTTCTCTATGCCACCTGTTGAATTTCATGGCTGTCTTCTCTTTCAAAATTTCCCACTTCCTAGTTCTGAGTGTCCCTGGAGAAGGAAATGGCAACCCACTCCAGTATTCTTGCCTGGAGAATCCCATGGATGGAGGAGCCTGTTAGGCTACAGTCCATGGGGTCGCAGAGAGTCGGACACGTAACCTTCATTGTCCTAGCTGAAACATAATTTATCTTAACACACTTTGTCTTTATGTATAGGTGCTCCCCAAGTAATAGTTAATAAGCGAGAAAGAATCTGGAAAACGGCTCATGTATGTCAATTAGTAAATCTCATGAGGGCAGGGTCTGTTTTCTTAAAAAAAAAAAGACTAAATTTTATATGTTGTAACAATAAAAATATTTATCAGGCATCTACTATATGCCAAAAAAAATTGTATATTTCATCTTATTAATCTTCCCTACAACTTTGTGTTGTAGATATTCTCCCAGTTTTAGAAATGAGGACCCAAGATTGGTGATGTAATGTCAACCCTGTTCAAGGTCACAAAGGTGGTACTCATGACCTATTTTGCATCCATGGACTGATAAGTTCTATGACCTTGAGTTATAATCCTAATGGCAAAGAATAAAAAGCAAAATTATAAATATAAAATATCAGTGAAACTTTGAAACAGCATTCCCACATATTGCTGTTGAAAATATATAATAGTGACATTTTTCTGGAGGGTTGTGATTGCATATATAAAGCCTTCAAAATGTACCTACTCTTGGACCCAAGAATTCCAGTTTAAGAAATATAAGACAGAAATGTTTCACGCTGAGGATATTGGTCTGTTAGTTACTATAGTAATAAATTATTGGCCTATTAATTTATAATATAGCATAAAAATCCACAAAAAGTGATTATGTAGAAAAATATTTGGTAAACTTGCTTGCTCTACACTACTGGGAAAGAAGTTTAGTTTCAAAACTACTTGTACTGTACAATGGTATGGTATGTACTGTATATGGTATGGCATGGATACTTGTATAAATTCCCGGCATAGGAGTATACTAAATATTAGTTATGGTGATCTTTCATTTTGGGGATTACGGGTGACTTTCACTTTTAGTCTTTCTAAGCTTTTATTCAGTTTTATTTCAAATGTTTTAATGGTAACTATGATAAATTATAGTTCCATCTATTCCCTTTAATTTTGGCTTGAAAATGAGCCAGATCTTACCGGAACTTATCCTCTTCTTTCAGCATCTTGCTAAATACCACCAATATACCTTGATAGTAATGTTTCCCAATCTCATTGCCTAGAACAGTCTCAGTTGGCTCAGATTCTGCCTTCCAGATTTTCAAAGGCACTGCATAACATGAATCATAGCTTTTCAGCCTGCCGCCATCCACTAACCATTAATCTAATATCTAACTTATGTTGCTGTGCCTCCAGGGTCTTCCCAGGTGGTGCTACTGGTAAGAACCCACTTGCCAGTGCAGGAGACATAAGAGACTCAGGTTCGATCCCTCGCTCGGGAAGATCCCCTAGGTGAGGACGTGGCAACCCACTCCAGCATTCTTGCCAGGAGAATCCCATGGACAGAGGAGCCTGGCAAGCTACAGGCCATAGCGTCTGAAAGAGTGAGACATGATTGAAGCAACTTAGCACACATGTATAGGACTTCCCACTCCTCATACCAATTTCTGCCTTTGTCAGAATAGGTTAATTACTTTAACAAAACAACATCAAAAGTTTAGTAGTTTATCATAATATTCATTTATTTCTTCCTAAGTGTATGTCAGTTTAATACAGGCATACGTAGTTAGGTAGCTCTTCTCCAAGACCTCAGAGTTCTGTCTATCTAGTCAATGGGGAAAGAGAGAGCATATGAAAGATCATAAAGGAAATTTTTATGTGCCAGATTTAGAAATGGGAAACATCATTTCTACCCATTTCTATTAGCTGGAACCCACCCAGTTTCATGGCAACAGTTAACTGTAAGAGAATCTGGAAAACATAGTTTAGCTGTGTGCCCAAGAAGAAAAAGAAACAGAGTTTGGCAAACCATTTCTCTCTGCTACAATCATGCTTTTTAAAAGACAGCTGAAAATTTCTAATAGATGTATCAGTGGTGTTATCATTCTCCTTCATATTTTTATTTGGGACAATCATGCTTGATGGCTTCCTGTTAAAGTGGAATATAAAGCCAGGCTCCAACTGGCATCTTTACCTGCCTCACATTAGTGTGGGTTCAGGTTCATATTAAGAGGAGGATCTGAGAGGTTAATAATTCAATGACCCCTTTTTGTGTTATTGCCACAATCAGGTTAGATTTAAATCTGTGATTCTAGAAGTTATATCTCAGAGAAATCAAGGAGGTGAAACTGATTAGTTGGCTATTAAGGTAAAGCTCCGGGTTATACTTATTTTGAGTTATTTCAAGAAAAGGTCCAGTTTTTTATTTTTTTAGGTCCCCAGACTGTATTTGTCTTTTCACTCAGAAGATACTGACTTACTCTAATTGAACTCTCAAGAGACTGATGCATCAGAATGTTACACAATAGGAATTCCTTCTCCTCAGTGTGTTCTCTCTTGAAAATTTTTTTCTTTGGATCTTCTTTCCATTAAATGCCATACCCTTATCATTGCTTCTTTTAGACTCTTAACCAGGATTTAGGAAATACTCTGTTTCGAGGGTTACTCTGGGAATTTCTACTCCCCATCATTGTGGGTCAAATGTTACTGGTAAATTTCAAATAATAACTTTCCATTGTCCCTAAATTCTGAACTCCCTACTTTCACCCATGAACTAACATTAGCTTCAATAATTACAATTCCTGAAAAGTGTTTGAGAAATCAAGAAAAGCAGTTAACTCATGATCCAGAGTTGAAGGCTTATCCTTATCCTTTAATAATAGACAGTGTAGCTTTCCACATCTATTTCTCAGCTCATTCCTGCTTTTTGAGTTATCCCATGCCTTGAAGTTGACTAATTTGTTCATCTTAATTAAACATGTTGCAGTATAGATGTGCTTAGTGATTTGCATTGCAGTCTGTGTAAAATTATTCCTGTTCATAAATTGCTGAGAGCAAAGAGGCTTCATGTTTAAATAAGTTTAATTACTACCTTATAACTATACAGGAAATATTTAACTGTTATGTTGGTATTGGTTCTATTACACTGAAAGAAGCTATAGATAGCTAATTTGTAAAGATTTGAAAGATACTAGGTTTCATTTTGTCTCTATAAACTCAGATTTGACTGCCTAGAAAAAGTTTCTTGTAACTCAACTCAATAAATGTCTCATTTCATTCTGGTGAATGAGCTTAATAAATGGAAAGTGGCTTTCTTTTTGACCTTTAGATAATTAAGAAATGCTTTTTGTGTTACTCGGTCTGACTCTCTACAACCTCACAGACTGTAGCCTCTGTGCATGGAACCCTCCAGGCAGGAATACTGGAGTTGATGGTCATGCCCTTCTCCAGG